TATCTTACCCACCCACCCTCTCATATTCCTCTGTTTGAAAATGTTACTGCTGTATCGCTTGTCCTCAATTACTACCTTTAAAGCCAAACCTTAATCAAGCCACGTGTAATAAAGCTACATACATTTGGTGCACAGAGCAGAATGCTTAAATTAACCCCCTCTACCCTAGCTTACATATATTTAGAGAAGTAGTTTAGGTTCTCCAGATAGTCAACGAATGCTTCCAAGTTTTTTCTGTGTGAAAATTAAATCACTCATCTATATAGCTATGTAGGGTCTATGTAAAAAATTATTAAAAATTAATTGTTCGGTTCCTATTATTTAATAGCATTTTTAAAACTTCAGTACTAAAAACACTGTAACCGTAAACACGCATGTGGTGAATGTCCAATGTAAGGGAGAACATAACAATGTAAAACGTACAAACCACCACCGTGACTCAAAGCGGCTAGTCTATATCGTGTTGCACTTTCGACTTCAGGTTTAGTCGACTCAAATGACTAATACGTACATTGAAAAAAGTATATTATTACATACTTTGCCTTTGTGTTAATTCGCTAACCTGATTTATACAAGTTCTTGAACGAATAAAAATTAGTTTGTTTTGCAAGGGAAGTAATGCATAAAATAAATAATGTACTAGCAAATATTTTTTTACCTCCCTTGAAATACACATGTATTTGTGTTATATATAACACTTTAAATTTGTATATCAAACACATTTATTTTTTGTGTGTCATGCAATTATCACAGTTTGCTACTCACTTTCAAAATAAACAATCTACTAAGTCAGTAATAACCTATCTCCTTGCAAAGTTCATCCATACTCATCTGATTAGCAAACCACACATATATAGTCCGCTACTTATTTCCGGCCAGAAGTAATTATGTTTGAAAAAAAACGTTTTGTATTTAACTTTATACCCATCAAAGCTAGTTATAATTCTGACTTCATACCAGACAAGCCGGTCAAAAGTACAATAATCATTAGAGATTCTTAAGTGTAATGTTTTATTGTGCTTGTTTTATTTATTTATTTTTTTAAATTTATATTATTAATTTTGAATACATTGATTTGTATAGCTATGTCATTCTTTAGTATGTCTTATTCAAATGATAAACAAACAACAGTTGAGAGAATCAATTCCTTCTCAATTAGCTTAGTACAAATCTATTTAAATAAGCTTTATGTGACACTACTATCAGACACTTTAAGAGCAGTAAGTCATGGATGTCGTTTTAAATTTTGACTATCTTTCACAACACATCTCATGTAGTTTAGTTGTTTACTGTTTCTATCCAACAGCGTGTGTTAGTTAGAGTAGAACAATCACTGCTGTAGTAGATTTTATTTTTACAAAACCACTATTAAGTTACAATAAACAAAAAAAAAAAGGTTTCCGTAACTAATATCACTTAAACGCCCCCCCCCTCCCTCTCCCTATATTACTACGATGTCTGGCCGTATGGTAATTCCGTTCCAGTTACCAGATTATTTTTTAAGTTGAGGTTTTGATTAGAACTGAGCTTAAGGTTCAGTCTTAGTCATGATAAAACAGTAAGAAAATGCGTAAACGAAAACTGCGCAAACAGAAGAATGCGCAAACACAAACTAAATATTCTAATACATTTTAGGTTTGTCATATTTCATTGAGAATTTGTTTCGTTATGCTATAATATTCATGTGGCCATTCTTTACTAACGTCTATAAAAGCTCACTTTAAGAAAACACGAATGAGCACCTTTTGTGCGCAGTTTACTTTTGCCCTTTTTTTTCGGTCACCGTCTGACTTTAGCTTTTGGTTTAAAAAAAAAATTCTAACGGATCTACAAGTATCAAGTAAAAATGCTCTCTCATCATGTCGAGAAAGTGAAAACTTTTAAAGAAAATAAACTGCAGCTGCTCTTAAAATCACAGACTGGAGTTTTTTTCCCTTTCCTTCTGAAAGAATGCTTCTAAGTACTTAAATATCGCGGACAGCAATTATATAAAAGATCAGAGAATGAGGCCCGCCTTTGATGCGGGTCAGGGTGAGCTATGAGCGACTCGTTACCTGGTCTGAACTGTTTGCTGGACAAAGTACACCAGAAATCGAGTTTTCATTGCTGTTTTATATACACTGTTTGGGTTAAAATATATTGCCACCATAAAATAAACCTTTCTCTGTGTCTACTTAAAGATACAGCGTCCTCCATAGATGAAATTACCACACACAAAAATCATTGAGGTGGGTAGCTTGGAAGCTCTGTAGGTGTATTTATTTCCTTAACAATGTTGAGTAGAAAGTTGTTGATAGACGCGTTAGCAGTGCTAATTTTTTTGGGGGGGGGGGGGGAGGGGGGGGGGGGGTTGGGGGACACCCGAAGAGTTGCCTGAAAAAAATGTTTATTAGTCAATAGACAAGCTATCCACACGTTAAAAATATGGATCACGTGAGTTTGTCTAATACAAACATTGGTGGTATTGTATGCTGTCAAGATCAGACCACCATTCATCCTCTTTTTTCCCATTCGTTCCCGAGATGCATGGGGCAGACGCAGTAGAGTCCATCTGTTTCAAAGACCTCGGCATATGAAGGGGTAGGTCAGCACTATACTCAGCCGCGTGTTTTCTCTAACATGAGTTATGTAGCTGTTATACTGACCTGAACCCGGATCCGAACTCGGATTAGCAGTCTAGCTTTCTACAGTTAGGCCACGCCGTCCCATAAACCAACATTGAAAGAATTAAAACAATACATTTTAAATCCTTATATATATATATATATATATATATAGTGGTCATCTCAATGTATGTATACCTTCACAGATGAGTGAGATTGAAACACCCAAATTATAACCCCGTCAATCGTTTGACCGTGTTGTTATAAATCCTCACAGCCAGGAGATTGATGCAAGTTAGCGATTGATTAGAAGTATTAAAACATCTTTCATCTTCTTCTTGTTCGTTCTTAAATTTTAGTAAGGATCGAGCCTTATCTGTCAGAGGGTTTGAAATCGAGAGGTTTTTTTTCGAATTTGAAAACCACGAGCTTTGCCGACTCGTCCACGCCTCCAACTCAATTAAGTATATATGCCACTTTGCTATGCGCCTTATTCGTCGTTGGCTCCGATTTCAGACTTCTTTTCGCTGATGATACTTCTTTACATGTCTTTGCGGACAGTGCTGAGTCACTCAGTTACAAACTTCAAACGTGTGCCAATCAGCTTGCTACTTGGACAAAATTTAACAAAATGAAACTTCACCCCGATAAAACCAAGTCAATGTTTATTACAACTCATCAGAAACGCCTTCGTCTTCCATCCACCGCATTAAACATTACTATAGACAATTCAAACATTGAACAGGTAGATAGTTACAAATGCCTAGGATTGTTTATAGATCAAAACCTCACTTGGTCTGACCATATTCATTTTCTAAGAATGTCCTTATTAAAGACAACCTTTCAATTAGCAAGGATAAAAAACTTTCTCAACTATAGGAGCATGCTGGTTTTTTATGAAGCTTTTATTCAATCCAGGTTGGATTATGCTTCTGTAGTGTGGAGCGGCAGCTTTATAACTAAGCAGCGTCCTCTTCTTTCTTTACAAAAAAGGGCTATAAAACTGGTTACTGGCTTATCTAGTAGTCTGGATTCTTTTCTTACAACTAAAATACTTCCATTAAATAAAAAGATAATATATACTAAATCAATTTTCTTATATAAAATATTCCACGAAACAGCCCCCTCTTACTTATCAGATCTATTTTCTTTTAACATAAAATTAAATCGTCGTCTTAATTTACCATTCCCTTATTCAACCTTTTTCCAAAAACATAGCTTCGCCTACGCTGGTTCTAATTTGTGGAACAATCTTCCTAATAAAATAAAGCTATCTAGATCTGAAAATATATTCAAATCTAAACTAAAACTAAAATTATTTAATGACCTAACTCACTCATTGTAACATTTCTCATTCATCTATTATATTCTCTTTTTTATCTCATTATGTATGATAGCTATGTACCATTGTTTCTTTATTCCACATTTTTAGTGCTATGTGTTACTGCTATGTGTTATTGAATTGTTTTATTTATTTAAACGGCCAATGTGAAAAAAGGCCTTTGTGTCTACAACAGTGGCGTAGCCAGGATCGTCTCAAGGGGGGGGGGGGGGTCCAATTTTTTACCCGGGGACAAACTTTCGATTTGCACCCTCCCTCAAACTTTCGATTTGCGACCCCCCCCCCCTTCAAACTTTCGGTTTGCACCCCCCCTCAAACTTTCGATTTGCACCCCCCCTCAAACTTTCGATTTGCACACCCCCCCCCCTCAAACTTTCGATTTGCATCCCCCCTCAAACTTTCGATTTGCACCCCCCCTCATACTTTTTATATATACCGAGGGGTCTATGGGGGGGTTATGACCCCCCTAACCCCCCCCTGCCTACGCCACTGGCCTACAATTGTAACCGTTGTTTGAATAAATTTGAATAAAATTTCTTTTTGGATTTGTTTCCATAGCCTTTGTCCAACCAAGAGCAAACTATAAGGCAGAAGTTGTTTTATTTTGGAGTTGTCTCTCCAAGAAGAGTGGCTGTCCCTAGCTAGCGAGCCTCATCTGCCCGATTAAAGCATTTAATCCATCTTTATTGCATGTTTTGACCTCCTACTGTAAAAAAAAAACATCTTCTAGCTCTGATAGCGATACTAAAAGATAATTAAAACATTTTTACAACTGATTTTTTTTTATGTATGCTAATTAATTGCGTATGAATTGCAATAATTTTTTATTTTTTTTTTGCAGTTTAAGGTTCAATTTAATAAAACAACCCACACACAATACATACACATTTTTAACATAACTTTTAATTACAAAACAACATATATTTTCCTCTAATTTTCAATGAAGTGGATTAACTTGAAAGATGACTCACTCTGTTGCTTGTGGCATCATACCCTTTGATCATATGAGCAATCTCCCAGTTTGTATCAGATGCTATAGGTCCTTTAAGTTCCACTCATTCTTTTGTAATAACGGCTAATTGATACTTCTTGAAGGCCCTGGCATCTCTGTAGAACAAAAGTTTCATACACCTGTCAATCAGTTGGACGGCCTCACCCTTGGTCATGCCAGGCTTCTTCTCCATGGCATCAAGAATAATGGGCGGAGCCAGATATGCACCAAAACAACTAGCCATAGATGGAGCCTCATAATCCATTCCTATTTTGTCAACATAACCCAGGTATGGCTTGCCCTCATCAATACCAGCGATGACAGATGTGTTCCACAATGGATTGAACTCAGTGGCGTAGCCAGGATCGTCTCAAGGGGGGTTCCAATTTTTATCCGGGGACAAACTTTCGATTTGCACCACCCCCCCCCCCCTCAGACTTTTGATTTGCACCCCCCTCAAACTTTCGATTTGCATCCCCCCCCCCCTCCAACTTTCGATTTGCAACCCCCTCATACTTTATATATATATATATATATATATATATATATATATATATATATATATATATATATATATATATATATATATATATATATATATATATATATATATATATATATATATATATATATATATACCGAGGGGTCTATAGGGGGGGTTATGACCCCCCCCCCCTAACCCCCCCTGCCTACGCCACTGATTGAACTGGCTGCGGCGGTTGTACAGAACTCTTGTCAACCAGCTATGTAGACTTTTTGGTGTGTAGCCAGGCAAACCCATCATTGAGACATTCTTCATCAATAACTTATTGTTCAATAATATTTTAAAGATACTGAAAATCAGCATAATCTCCTGATGCTCTAATCACTGTTGTGTCGTTAACCTTCAGAAGCCTAGGGCAGTCACGATATTTTGAAAGGGAACCATATGAACCAAGCATATCTGCAGCAATTACAGCAACACCATTATAGTGAACCCCAAGAATAGATGATCCCATAACAATGGGGTTCAGGGTGCGCTCAGAGGATCCATTGCAAGGCATGTATTTACCACCAGGAACATTATAAGATTGTCCAGGCGTTGGGCCACCGGACCAGAGAGCGCCAGGAGATCCATTTCCAAACATTCCCGTTTTTTTTTTTTTTTTTTCGCCTCAGACATGTAATAAATAGCGTCAGTTGTGTGTTCGCTTTAGTATTACAGTTTTCATCATCGGCTTGTGAGGACTGATACAGATTTACAATAGTAATATTTCTTTCTTACTTGTAGCCTGCTTTCATTCATTTAAGATGGTTTACTTATACATAGATCTAATAAGATTGTTTTACTAATAATAGATCTGATACAAAACGTCTAAATATAAAGAAAATTTAAAAAAAAACCAACCTGAAACTGAAAATGCAAATGTGTAATTCATTGATGATTCAATGGATTTTTTTTTTCTCGGCGTGGTGGGCTGAGGGAACGGGGGGGGGGATGGAATTTGGGTTTTTAAGTAGAGCTGAAAAAAAATTTGATTACCGAGAATTAAAATGATACAAATTTTAAGCAATCGGAAAAGTTATGTTATTATAATGAGACACATCAAAGCAAACATTCTTCCCTTTCAAACATCTATATCTATACAGTCCTCAAACAGTTTTTCGTTTCCTAACATTCCCGTTGACAATTTAAATTAGATTCAACAAAGAACACTTCTACCAACATAACAGCCGTTCAATTCACCTAAGTAGGCGGTTATGAATAGAAAAATACAAGTGTTTAATTGCAAGATATATCCCAGAAGTAATTCAAAATTCCAAAACATTGTTATTTAGTTAGAGAATTTCTTATATGCTATTAAATTCGTTATAACTAACATTTGCTAAATAGTTACTTGCTATTTTATAATGTTATCTTTATCTTTTACTAAAACTAGCCAACATAAGTATTTATTATTTCCCCTGAAATTTTAAAATATCAAAACATCTAATTTTTTAAAACTCCATATTTAAATTTACTCAGGCAGATTTTTTTTACACATCTTATCAACATTTTCATTTAACACACGTCGCTGAGGTGTAGTATTACCTGGACATCTATGTACTCACAGGTAACACGAGTTTTTCAAAAGTAGAGCATGCAAGCTTACAGGTGTAGTGTAGCAATATGTGAAGATAACTTAATTTTTGTATAGTTTTAACATAATCGCTAATAAGATTTAGGGGTGGGGGGGGGATGAACATGTAAAATATAGATCTGTCGAGCGATATCTTCGGTTTAGATTTATTTAAATCACGTGTAAATATGTAGACCTTTTATTGTTGTCGTTGTAAATAACTTTTTAGCTTTACATAGAAAACACATTTTGGCATCCGAACGTTTGAACATGTAAAGAACCGTCAGTTGTCGCTGTGGTTCGTAGAGTGCTAATTAGTTTTCAGTTAGATTTAACAGTGTTTTAACTATAAATAAATAACCAATTAATGTAATGAATTATTAAATAACCTATCCCCTTCTCAGAACAAAATACAGATCGCCTAACTAAGGATACAGCTGGGTAATAGTTGAGTTTCTTTTGAAGGAAAACGCCTACAGCTTTCACCCCCCCCCCCCCCCCTTACCATCCGCCCTTTACTGGAGGAAATTTTAAAAACATATTTTATTAAGGAAATAAGTACGATAACTAACTAACCCAGTGTTACGTCCGGGAGTGATTCAACTCGACAACAACGATTCGTGACACATATAGTATACTTTTATTTAGTTTCACGTTCAACGTCACAGGGTCGCCTTCGCACTAACCGCTACCAACTAACCCTGACAACCATTCACTACAACTTTTATTCCGCATTCGACCTTGGGATAACAATACATCAACACACCAGGGTTAACAATACTCTAGGGTAAACTCAACTCACACACGCACTCTCCCCTAAATTCTAGATTATTCTAACCTATTTCTATCTAACTTACAACTGACCCGTAATACCCAGTCCTGAAATTTTAAGTGCGCCCCCCGCTCACCCCCACCCCCCAGTTTTAAATTCCCCTCCCCCAAAGAGGAAATTGTCTGAAAGAAACTCTGGTTAATAGCACAGTGACCCTTTAAAGACAAAACGCAAGGCGCCAGGACTGTTAGTTCCTGTTGTAGTGGATGATGATAAGTGGATAAGTGGATGCTATGGATGTACAGATCGAGAGAGAGAGAGAGAAATAAAAGATAGAGATTTAGAGATTTAGAGAGAGAGAGAGAGAGAGAGAGAGAGAGAGAGAGAACAGATCAAATATGTACAGTTTTCTGTCACAAAAATAATGTGTAGGTGGTTGCCATGGTGATTATCCACTTTGGTGTTTTCTCCCTTGAGAAGTCTAGAATTTCATGTTTTCTATTTTTTCTATTTTTTTTTTTTTAATAATTAGTATTAAAACACATACATGTTTTATGAGGCTAAAATATTTCGATTTTGCTGCTTATTTGCCTGATGGTCTGATTTCAAATTTGTCTATGCAAATATGTGTTTGCATCCATGTTTGTTTGTATGTTTGGTTGCAAGTGTGTCTGTATGTTCGTCTGCATGTGTGTTTGTTTTATTTCGAGTATAATTGCAGGTTTAGTGTAGCGTTTCTCGCTAGATCGTGTAAAAGCCAGTGGATCAGAGGCGCCCGGGGACAAACTTTTCGATTTGCACCCCCCTCAAGATTTCGATTTGCCCCCCTCAAACTTTCGATTTGCACCCCCCCCCTCATACTTTCGATTTGCACCCCCCTCAACCTTTCAATTTATTTTTCCAACCCATTTTGGCGCCCCCTAAGGTCGGCGCCCGGGGACATATGCCCCCCCCCCTCGCTACGCTACTGTAGTGGATCTTTGGGTTTGGGTTTATCTTCATGTTTGTCTCTATGTTTGTAATTACGTTTGTCTGAATGTTTGTTTTTACCGTTTGTCTGTATGTTTGTTATTACGTTTGACTGTATGTTTGTTATTACGTTTGTCTGTATGTTTTGTTTTATGTGTGATTGTATGTTTGGTGTCACGTTAGTCTGTATGTTTGTGGGTATTTACAGGAGTTGGATATATGAGGTAGAGCCATGAAAACATATTCAGTTTATTAACATAACCACAAGATCATCAATTCATATCACCAATTTTAACTTAATGTTTCCACATAATTCTCCAATGTGTTACCATTCCTAAACTATACAACTTTACAATACATTTCATTGCATTCAAACCAGTGATTCTTAACCATTTTTGAAGTACCCCACCAGTTTCATACGCGCATTCACCGAATCCTTAACATTCTATCATCCACGCTGACAAAATCCGATCGTGAATCGCAAGTCGGGTGTGTGTCTTGACCTCCGCTAAACCCTCATCGAGCCCCTAAGGTTTCAATCGAACCCAGTTTAAGAACCACTGATTTAAACTCCTTTTTTCCAAATTAGCTTAATTAACTGTATACTTAATTTGGCCATCATCAGAACCACTCTGTCCGGTAAATACTTACTCTCCATCGCAGTGAGTGGCCGAGTTAATTAAGACAATGTTGATTAATTAAGACAAGGCCCATCGGCATCCCTGCCGCGGATAGAGGGAGATAAAGCTCCCTCCCGAAAATGTCATTCCTATAAAAACTGCTATCTTGGCCGTTTTTTTTTTTCTCCCATAAGGGATAGGATAATAAAGGGAAGAAACTCCATAATGTTTTTATCGCTCCCTTTGCGAACTAATATAATTTGTGTCCCCTTATATCCATCCCCCCTTCTCTCAGCGCCGAAAGATATGTAAAAAAAAAAAAAAAAAAACTACGTCTCATTTTGAAGACGTTCGGTTTTGCCTTAAGCCATTTTTTGTCCACTTTTTTTTTTACGAAAAAATATAATTATCCGGTTCATGAACGCAAATTATCGTCAATTAAAATATACGTGTCTCTAGACATGAACACCCCGTCTCCAACCCATGAGGTTGATAAAAAGTTGACTCGTACTCATAGCAATAGTGCGATCTAACCTATTCTTCATAGCAGTACATGTTCGTTTTGCGGTGTAACATTTTCTTCGTAACAGTATAATTTCGTTTTGCGATGAACCTTTTTTTCGTAACAGTACAATTTTGTGTGGTGATGTAACGTTTTCTTCTAACAGTACAATTTCGATTTTCAGTGTAAGCTTTTCTTCGTTACAGTACAATTTTATGGTGTAACGTTTTATTTTAACAACATGTTTGAAATGTTTTTTTTAAATGTATTGTAAACTGGCTGTCTTATATCAAATTTACACAACATTATCAATTGACATATATAGCTCAATTATAAATAGAAATATTAAACTGCGGTATATATGGCGAGATAGAGCTGCATTATATTAGCACGTATGGGATATCTTTATATATAAAAATCTTCAACTACCGTTTTTCCAGTCATGTCGAATTACTCATCTGGGCATACTTAGGTACCTTATATCTAGATTTATTGAACACTATCTTATACCTAAACCAGCGGTTCCTAACGTTTTTGGAGGTATCGAACCCATCAGTTTCAGATAGTTCCATTGTCCGCTCTGAAAAAATCCGATTGTGAATCATGTGAGTCGGATGTGTGTCTTGACCTCCGCTGAAACCCTTAGACTGACTCATCCGACCCCTAGGGTTCAATGGAAACCATGTTAGGAACCCCCAGACGTATTGAACTACATTGTATTAGAATTACTGAACACAATCTTATAACTAGACATTTAACTACTTTATATTTGAACATAGAGCTGCCATTTCAGATAGAATATATATCCACGACGGTCGAAATCCGCCGAAACCCGCCGAAATCCGCCGAAACCCGACATTGGTAGGCCCCAGATAAAATAAACCGGGAGATATCTCCCCTCAACTTTCTCGAATATTCTTATATAAAACAACAGGGGATGGGAACTCCATTTTAAATACTTAAAGTTTTTAAAGTAGAATAAAATCGCGTAGAAAAAAGGATTGCACACCAGATGAACGCCAAATGAATTGTGCATAATAGTGCGCAATATTATTAGTACTTTATACATTTACATGCGTTTTTTGAGAAATCGGAAATAGCGTAAATTAGTACTTCCGGTCAACGGGAATTACTCAAAATTTGAAAGAAGGTAGAGAGTTAGATCTTTTACTTACATGTGAAATTTCATTTATCTATCTGAAATAGTACTCAAGTTATAGGCTTTTGAAAAATTCAAAGTAGAAAAAGTACCACTTCCGGTTATCGGAAATCGCTCAAAAGTTGATACGGATCTACGATTTTGATAAAATACTTATATATGAAATTTCATCAACCTAGCTGTAACGGTACTCAAGTTATCGTGTTTACACACAGACACAAAGGCACACAGACAAACAGACACACAGACACACACACAGACAAATAGACATACGGACAAGATTGCAAAATTATGTTTTTCCGTATCACTGAGGTGTAAAAGTCGAGATTTGTAAAAATCTCGATTTTTTTTTGCACGATTACAAGACTTTCTCTATATAGGCTACAAGAAAGTAAACAAGGCGACAAATGAATTGATGGCATAACTACAGAAGAGGCCGCCACACGCATAACAAAACATTCGGTGTCAGGGGAGACAAATGCCTATTGATTTCTATCTTGCCATTAGAGTAACATTCCCACGCCATTTTTTTAGTTTTAAGAATAATTGATAACAATTTATGTTTACAAAAATAAAGGTAATTCCATTTTACTTAAAACTTGTAGAAATGTGTAAAATGTGTACATTTTTAATCCCATAACTGACATACAGACACTTTATAGTTTCTAAACAAAAATCTCTAAAATACTGGAAAAAGAAGCATGACTATTCTTTAACTTTTATTGCCTTATGCCTTACAATCTTTTAATCAATAAATTTATAATATTTATTATATCAGCTGACTGATCATAGATCTAAAAAATGTCTGACCACCTAAAGAAATATTTAACTACACAGCTTGATCTACTGGATGAGTCAAGTTTTCATCTACAGAGTAGCATCAGTGATTTTGTACAGCAAATTAAAACAAGAGTAATAGAATGTATACACAACACTTCTGACACCAACATGACATTGAAAGATGCAGTTGTGGTTGTAGCAACAGCACAGAGTACAATACTAGAACATACAGACAAGTTCACTGAATCCACAAAGATGACAGGATATAAGATAACACCCAAAAGTAAAAGTTTAAAATTAACAGAAGAAAACGTTTCAACAGACTCTACACCTGTTGCAAGTCATGCGGAAACAATAAGTAGACTTGAAGATATAGAAACAACATTAACTTCTCTACAAGACACAAAACAAAAGACTGAAGATGACATATCAGAAATAAAGCAATGGAGAGACAACTTTGTAACAAAACAGAGTGATATGGTGATGAAAATTAACAATGTGTCTAAGAAACAAAAACAGAATTTCAAAAACTTAAGAAAACAACAACATGAACAAGATAACAAAATAGAAGAGATGAACAAAGTAATTAAAAAATTAGAAGAAAAACAATCAACAACAATCAAAACACTAGAGGAACTATCTCTAGATTTGAAAGAACATGAAAAAACGTTACACAAAATAAACAAAGAGATCCAGAATCACACAGACAAAACAAAACATTTAACCCAAGAAATTAAAAGACATTCTGATTTGATCTCTACAACACAAGAAAAATTACTGTCTAAGCATGGTGTGATTTGTCAACTTCTACAACAAAGGTTGTTGCCCATTTACAGAATTCTTCAAGCAAGTAACAGGAACCTAGAGACTAACAAGGAAAAACTGAAGAAGAATGAATCTCTGGAAAAAGATTTATTAAAGTTGTCAAATGATTTTCAGACAATAGCCAATGAACAAGTGAAACATTCTACACCGGGGTTTATTGCTTCACAAGGTCGCTGGGACGGGAAAAGATATCATGGATACAAAGTTATTACATTCAGTGCTGTAGAACGTAACGTAGGTAACCATTTTGATCCAAACACTGGAATTTTTACCGCCCCTGTTGATGGCCTGTATAAAGCAAGTCTTACAATAAAACAAACAGGAGATCGTGCTGTGGAAGCTTGGGTTTATCACAAATCTGGTCGTGCGCTGACTAGGCTCGGTAATGTTAATACTAAAGAAAAATATTTTGAAGCTTCAACAACTTTTGAGATTTATATGAAAGCTGGAGATGTATTATTTTCATTCACTGGCTATCGTAATTGTAAATGTACGCATTTTTCTTGTGTTTATCTTGACGTCTAACTTCCATTTTTCTTTTATTTATTACAGACTTAATATTGACTAAAACCTTAAAATATGTACATTAATAGATGAGAATTCTTTTAGATATTCCATACAGATACACGCGATATTGGACTTATTTTCTATCCGAAACGTCTAATGTTTATACGTTGTTAATCTACACAAAAAATATAAAATGGCTGTAAACAAAATAAAAGTAATATTAAACCTAAAAAAAAAAAATTAATCAATAAATTTTAAAAAAAAAGAAACGCTAGCAACATTCCAAGGAAACAAAAGCATTATTGGGGAAGACAAAAAAAAATATACGACATCCTAATCAAACAACAAGCGACACCCTTATACACGAGAATTAGTTGGGCCAGGGAACACAATATAATAGACATTAAAGATACATTTAGAAACCTACATAATAAACGCATTACACCAAAAGAAAGGGAAATAGCATACAGACTGATTTTTAACACAACTCCAGTTTCACGAAATACAAAGTCAAATCAAAATGTTAAAATAACATGTCAAACGTGTAAACAAAATATACAAGAAACTGAGAAACACATTTATTTAGATTGTATATTAGTACAGAAAACAAAGCAAACACTTGCGAAAATATTAAACACCACCAATCAAACAGCCACAACAAATAAAGCAATCACACTTAATTTAATTAACAAGACTAGACAAAGAACAGAAGACGAGAACAGACTAGTAGCAATGGCTATTTCTAGATCGACTATATGGCAAATTAGGAATAAAGTCAGATATTTTTTCACAAAATACACGGACATCGAGTTAAAAGAAATATTTCAAGCAAAGCTAAGACATAGACTGGGAACTCTCACTTAACTGAGAAAAAAAAAGAAATATACAGGAAAGAAAGAAATAAAGTATTAATTTTAATTTAGACAGTCTCAAGCCAAACATCACTCGATCAGCCCCCAAGTAAATTAACATTAGAACAGTCTTCTGTTTCCCGGGTTTTAAAATGCACAACCTGAATGGTAGAAAGAGATACCCACCTAACCCCCCCCCAACACACACACACACACTTCCCCCCCCCCCCCCCACTCAACCGGACTGGCGGACGTTTCAAGGTAGCGTGCCCTCATTGCCAAGGGTCAATTTTATGTCATGGAAAGTTTTGGAATGATAGATCAGTACGTGATTACAGAGACCCTTCTTCCACAGTCGTTTCTATTTCTGTCCATGGGTGGCTACAGTGTGAACTTTTGACTCCGCAGCACACTAAACTAAGCTGTGAAGAGAAACCTAGTTTGCACACCTTATTTTAATCTAGTTCTTATGCCATTTTATTTTTTCCCTTTGATTATTATATATGCAATTGATGTTCATTGTTCATGTCTTTGATGCTATGTAAAATCTATCAAATATATTATTATTACTGATTTAAATGTTTAAAACAATTGAATTAATAAAAATAAAAATAAAAAAAAAATCTACCCCCTCCTCTCTCCCCCTCTATCCACTTTACCCCCAGACATGATAACCCCACAATCCCTTTAACTGCTCCAACGACCCCACCACCCACCGCAACATCAATATCCAGAACCTATTTAAAGTTCTAAATCTTGTCTCTTTCCCCTCATCTTTCACACTGCAACCTTTTGAAAACTCAATGCGACCACTACAACACCCTTTCAACTAGTCAACTCAAGTTGTTTCCCTACATAGAAAATGCGTCCCATTGACCCTCTCTGAAAAATTTCCTTTCCTCTCCCCACCCAGACTTCTGACACTTTCATTTGACCTTCACCCCTTTTACTGTCATCCTTTGCAATTTTTTTTATAATTAAATACATGACATCATGTAAATATTCATTATGTACATTTGCAAACCTTTCGTTTTCATTTGGTGTTCAAAATTATGTTAAAAAATTTGATGTTGATGTACTTGTTTTAATTGCAAATAAAAGTTTAAAAAAAAAAAAAAAAAGTATTTCCTGTGTCATCATAGATTTATTTTTAAGAATATGTAATTGTTAATGACTGCTTAACTCCCTACAACATTGTTTTAATAAAACAAACATGCTATGATGCAAATATTGCTTATGTAGCTTTATGATACTGTATAACCATTCAATCTGGTTTGAGTTGGCGAACATCAACTTAGTAAATATTCTGTTTTCTACATAGTTTTTTTGTATTCATTAAACCAATCAAATAAATCTTTTGATATCATTCAAAAAAAAAAAAAAAAAAATCAATAAATTTAAAAAATGTATTATCTCGCTTAGGGCTTAGACCCTCTCAACTCTCCTTTACACCTTAAATCACCTTTACAAAAGGCAATTGTATATCACGACTAAACTTGACAATTGGACGTCTAGCGTAATGTAACATGTGAACTGTTTAAAATGAATGACTGTATATGTCAGATCGAAGTATTACAATTGTAAATCAATATCAGTCATCTCAAGCCGATGATGGAAAATAATGATAAAGCGAACATGATGTGTCTGAGGAAAAAGAATTCTTTAGATTTAGTCATTCGGTCAGCTATTAGATATTTAACTCAAGGGAAATGCCTTCAGTAGTATAATACTGATCAATATTTCTGATACATAACACCCCTGCCCACAAGAAAAAGAGAAATAAAGAAATACACACACACCCTTTTTTGTCAATTTTGATATATAACATTATCAGTAAACACTACAGTAAGTAACACTGTAACAAGAAGTTTAAGATATTGCAAATTATAATTTATCTTTGCACTATCTAAGATCGTATAGTACAAATACATATTGTATCGTTGGTTCATCTCAGTTTACAAACTAGGAAATGTATAACACACACATATAACAGACACCCATACATGCATACACACGCATACACACACACAAATAAATATATAAAATACACACACACATATATATATATATATATATATATATATATATATATATATATATATATATATATATATATATATGTAACTGGGGTAGGCCTAACTACCAGTTACAAATGATAACGAACAAGAAGCCGAGACACAGTGTTGGTCTGATGCAACCGATAACAGGTGGCTTATTGGGTCGGGCTGATAACAACCTCAAAGCCAACGCGTGCTATTTTGGGAAACGGTATTCAGACGGCCTGTCAACTTTGATGGATAGGACGCAGATGTTATTTTACGGTCTGTACGTTTGAACTACGCAACTGGTGGTCGGAGATCGAGTACAAGTATCGATTACGGAGGAATACAAGTACGGAGACGAGTACGGATACAAGGCATAAATAGGAGGGCACGGCAGGACTCGCTCTCTCTCTTCCCGTTTCAGCGAGCTCTCTTCCATCTTCATCGCTCGCTTAGATCAGTCAGTCTGTGTGACTATGTCAAGTCGGTTATAGAACGGGTTAGCCGTATTGTGTTAAGGAGGATTATAGACATGTGGATTCAGTTATATAAAGCCTAGTGAAGGACTGTTAGGGGTCAGTTGATTCAGACTATTATTGAGAAGCATTCCTGTTGATTTATTGTGTTATTATGAAGCATTTCTTGATTCATGTAATAAAGGATCAATAGCGAACCTGCATCTTGAGTATCTATACTGTGGTCAATGTTGTCTAGAATGAGTGGTTAAACTCGTTAACACGTGGCACTACAGGCAATTAGGTCTCATTACATGTGGCGTTGCGAGCATGGTAACTGTTGGCTCGTTACAATTGGCGTTGTCGGCAGGATAAATGTTCGCTCGTCACAATTGGCGCTGCGATCAGGATGAATTCAACTAGACTTGCCGTTTAAGGCACCTATAGTCAACCTTGTGCATAACTGTGTTTAGTGTGTGTGTGAATTCGGACATTCAGGAACTGTGAAAATTGAGGAACGAGGAAAAATTTTTCATACACACACGGTAAGAAAGAACTCTCTTTTTTTTAGTACTTAAGGAAGAAAATGTCTACTCTGGACGAGAAGCAGACCCATATAGTGGTCCTACCCAGAGAGTCCCATATTAACAAATTTTACGGGGACGGAGACCCAACTTTAACCAACAGGTTCAGTGAAGAGGTCAAAGCGGCCTGGGCCTCGAGACATATGTCACCAGAGGAAAGATTAAGACTGCTGATGGGTAGTATAGGTGAAACGGTTAGGGCAGAGGTTAAGTGCCTCGATAGGACCGTCCAATCAGATCCAGATAAGGTGCTGGATCTGATTATGGAGACCTTTGGGGAGAGACGGTCGGGAGTGCAACTGCTATCGGGATTCGTGGGCTTAAAGCAGAGAATGGCGGAGAGTGTGATGGAGTACTCACACAGGATGAACAGGGCCTTTGATTTGGTAAAGGGCAAATCACCGGACATTGATGTACGCCTACTGAGGGACCATTTCATCGAGGGGCTAGCAACCCCGATCTTAAGGAGAGAGTTGAAAGAGGAGGTCCACAGAGACCAGCAGTTGACCTTCCTTCAGGTCAGGAACTCAGCGATCCGCAGGTCCGAGGATGAGGACCAATCGAACTGTTCGGTGGACAAAGTCTCTGTGCCTGAACAGAGACAATCCCCACCCACAGGGGCCGACACGATGGAGACCATGATGGCTCAACTGTTGGCCCACCTAGAGAAGGTTGACCAACGCTTGAAGTGGTTGGAAAGCAGGTCAACAGCTGAGAATCAGGAAAAGAACGGGACAAAACAGGGACGGGTTGGACGGCCGCGTCCTGCCAAGCCATCACTCCAATGGACGGCAGACGGTCGACCAATTTGTTTGTCTTGTTCACAACCCGGACATATGGCACGGTACTGCCAGGGAAACGGTCGTCCTCTGTAAGGCAGGGCCAAGCTACAGAGGGGCGAGGTTATGGCCCAAGAAGCAAAATGATGGGAGTCTGTCCCGAAATGGTGATTACGATTGGGGACATCGCGGTGAAGGCAATTGTGGATACAGGCTCCCAGGTGACGACAATCACGGAAAATTTTTACACCAAATGGATGAAAGGAAAAGACCATAGGTTGAGGTCTGACACAGGCATGCGCCTGAC